CCTCCCCCCTCGCCGGAGCGCTGCCCCTCCTCCCCTCCCCCCCAGCCCTGCTTGAGGGGGGCGGCTGAGGGAGCCGTGCCCGTAGGGTCTCGCCCCGGCTGGGCGGCGGGGAAGCCCCCGGAGCGGCGACCGAGAGTCGTCCCCGGGGGGTGGCGGGGCCGGGGCGGGCCTGTGGCCCGCAGAGGCGCCGGAGGCCGACGGTGCACGGAGCCTTTCACGCGTTCTACGGGTTCACCGCCCGCCCCGCTGAAGGGCAGCCGGGCCCTCGGGGGAGGAGGAGGAGGAGGAGGAGGAGGAGGAGGAGCTGTGCCGCCGCCACGGTCCCTGTCCCACGCGCGGCAGTGCCCGCGAAAGCAGCCGGGGAGCCCAGCGCTGGGGACGGGGGAGGTTATCGCAGACCACTTGTGAACCCCCGTGGGTTTTGCTCCAGAGGAAATAATTAGGGAACAATAGACGGAAACCGGCGGCAGAACTGAGGCTCTCTAGGGCCAGGTGGGTGGGGTGGGGGTTTTGTGTTTGTTTTTCCACGGACCCCGTTACAGGGCTTTCTCTTTGTGGGTGAAACACTGTCATGACGCTTGAGCGAGCCTAACGCCGGTAGTTAGCAATGGTTAAACTCATAACAAGTGATTTCAAGTAGAGCAACAGGTGAAACGCTATTTTAAAAGGGTGCATCATGCTGCATGGATGTAGCAGGGATACTTTCTTAGCCAACAACAGCAACATATCGAGTGACTTCTTCCGTATGAGAGGACTTGAAATTACTCATTAGGAAATTAGACCAACATAGACCAAATCCTTTTTGTCTCACTTGTACACAGGGATTATGGGGAAACAGCTGATGGCTGTCCCTAGGGAACATAGATAAAATTATTGGTGGCAATTTCCATACTTGCATACAAATCCAGCTGTTGTCAGATGCTTGCCATCCCTATTACCACAGTCAGATGTGTTTCCAAATGCCTTGTCTCACAGAGTTGTCAGCCCTCCACAAAGAGTTGACTGTAGTACTCCATCTTCAAAATCTACTTTGTCCAAGCAGAATAGCTTTACAAAAAAACATTTTAAAAAAATCCTTCGAAATTTTAGTTGATACAGTTGGTATTTAATGGTCTAAGGGTTTAAACACAATAGAATGAAGACAAATTCTCACACCATCCCTAACAAAAGACTTAATAGCGGAAGGATGTGCCGATGTTACTGCGGTGCAGCCACCTTAACCCTGACCCATGTTATCTAGAGGCCTTTTTGTATGTAGTTTCTCACTCTTGCTTATGGCGCGAATGCGCATGTGCAAGGATGTTTGTCAGGTGGGAAATGTGAGTTGCGTTCACGTTAGAAGACTTGGATTTTGCAGAAGCCAGGGTAGGCATGTCTGAAATGAAAAGTGTATTTCAGTTCACGGTTGGGTTTATGAATGCCACGTGGAATTACCATTTGAAAATTAAATAGCAAACTGATGGTTACAAGCAGTTACAAGCTAGGGTACGTTACAGATGTGAGACGGAGTATGAAATAGTTTGAATAATTTTTATCACTAGGTTCATTTAAAAACTTATGTGTTGTATATAGAAGAATTTCTGTGCACAGCCCTGCCTGTATATAGGATTAGATTAAAAATTACTGGTTTATAAATGTTTTTATTCAATGTTCAGTATAAGGTTCCCTACTACATGCACATTCTCTGGTAATTTCACCTTTTTTTTAAGCACATTTGCCTTTTCAAATATTAAAATTATGTGGCATAACTGACTGGATAATTGATTGTAATCTTACCTGTTTGTTGCGATGTACGTTGGTTTTGAACAAAGATCCTGGATTTTGAAGGTTTTCTCCCTTCTTTTTTGGGGGAATGTAAAGGAAAAAATGAAATAGTTCTTTTATAATATTCAATAGAAAGGATGGATCAACAGGTTTGTACAAAATGATGCTGCCTAAATCAATAGTTAACTCTTCCAAAACCGTTCCTGATATAGCTATGCATGTTCACTTTTGCTCAGATATATAACCCTGCAAGTAGGAAATCCTCAAGTGGTTATTTTTGACTACTAAGGCAACAAGTCCATTTTACAATGGAGTTGGCATCATAGATCTCTACAAAAGTAATTTTTTAAATTTATTATGTGTTTCGTTTTTGGTTTGGTTTTTTTTTTTTCTTGCAGTCCTTCAAACTCCTAGGATTTCTTGATGTTAAAAGTGTTCCATGTGCACGAGAATCAGTGCTCTATGGCTCCCTGGGATCTTTAGTTGTGGGTCTTGGACATTTTTTAGCAACTAGTAAGTACTTATTCCTTCTTTTTTTAATATATTTATTTGCATGGAAAAAACAGGTTTTATTAATAATGGGAAGTCATCCAAGGTTTTTTCTCTAATTTTTTTGAGGATTTTTGTTTTTCTTTCAGGTAGAGTTAGAAGATCTTGTGACTTTGCAGTTGGTGGCTTTATTTGCACAATGTTGGGATACTGGTATGTAAAATGCTTCTTGAATTTTGACCTAGGTTGGCTGCTTTGTACAACATGATACCCATGTGACCTTTCACACTGTTTTTGAAACTCCACAAAAAAACTTGCCTAGCAAAGCGTCCTCTTCTTTCTCCCTGAAATAGTTCTCTCTCTCTTTTTTTTTTTTTTTTTAAAGGAAGAGAGTTCAATGAATTAGAATTTTTATGTTAATTTTTTTTTTTTAAACTTGTTATTGTTTCTGGAAGCCTAAGAGATCAAACCAGCCAGTTATTTCCATCTTTCTTAATTCTTTCTTTTTTTCTTCACATATGCATGTCATCCTTCTGTCCTAATTATAAAGGCAGCATACTAAATGGTCATGACATTAAGATTCAAATTATAGCAATTAGCTTTTTCCATTGGACTTGTATATCCCGCTCCTCAGTGGCTGCATAATGTTTGCCTTAAAGAAATAGCAGTTACCCTAGTATTTTCATTATGCATCATTTTGTAATGAATTTTACTAGCATTATTATATGTGGTTTCAACTTTTTCAACTGGCTGAATAACTCTGATTTGATACTGTCACTCATATAAAGCAGGGAATCCTGTTTTCTTTTCATCCCCCTCTAGGTTTTACTGCAGGTACAATTTGGCCCAACACAGGATCCGGCAAAGAATGCTTAAAGAAGGAATGAGAAACAAAATTTTATTTGAAGGCAGTTCTCTTGATCCAGAAAGAAAACAAACTGGCAATGAAAGAAGTGATTCATAGTCTGCTATAGAGGAATCTGTGGTCTAATACAGCTTTGGGAGAAGGTGGTCCGAAAATGGCAGTCTTCCCTGTAAATGTGTGAGGTGCCTAAAACTGGTAAATCATGCTGGTTTTCCTAGCAAATCCAAGCAAGAAATTCTTAGCAAATCTGTTAAGTCAGTATACAAGTCTGTCTTTGTTTCATCTATGTCTGTATGTATATGACTGTGTACACAGATAGTATTGACCTCCTGTTCAACATCTGGGAACTGATGTGTTCTGTTACAGGGTCTCAAGAGGATTAATGACGGGTTTTGGGACTGCTTTAACTTCCATTATAAACAGAAGGGTTAATTTTAGTGAAGTTGTAATTACATCTCATTTCAATATAGGAAAATATTTTCATCAGCTGTTCTCTTGAGTAAACTTATCTTTCAGTGCTACTGTTAATTGTGCTGTTTGTAAAACAGGAACATTTAAACAGCAGGTGACCACTTTGCTTGTGCAAGGTGAGTGGTATTGGTAGCCTTTGTAAGATTTCAGCTGCAGAATAACTTCAGATAATTTATATACACAGTGAAGTTGAAGGATTTCATCTTTGTTCTGTCTGTGCGAAACTAAGAATAAAATCACACTTCAGAAGCAGTCTAAGCTATGTAAGTAACTAATCTTTTTACTTGATTAAAAATCTTGCTCTTCTATTTAAGATATTTCCTTACAATTGGTGGAATAATAATTTACATTATTTGTAAGTAGCAATGGTCAGTAGTTGTGGTGTTTTTTTTTTTTTTTAAAGGCATGTTCTACTTGTATATTTCACTGTACATTTTCAGTTAAATATCACTATATAATTTCAAGGAAACCATCTTATTTGGAAATACAGTGTTAGGTGGTAAAAAGATGAGTGATGGCCTAATATTCCTTGCTTGCTTCTGTCTACACCAGTGACACAATGCATTTATTTTTTTTCACAACATGATTTATAGTATGTTGTGCTGTAAGCACTTTTTGGTCTAAAGGCATTCACTGAGCAAAAATAGTCCTTTCCCCTCACCCTGTTAGTCTGAGAGAGTTTGTGATCTGTTGTTAACTCAAGTTGGTGTGGGGAGGTTTGGGGATCCAGATGCAAACAGCAGCACTGCTCTACTTATTTAATTTGGAAATATACTTGAGAGCACTATACAAACATGCTATTTACACTAGGATAATTAAACTTTTACCCTCTGTGGATTAGCCTCTTACAAGAAGAAAACAAACTGTATACTCTGTTTCCTTTTTTTCCTCTATTCCTCTTGTTTCTTTTGGAGGAAACAATAAAGATAAGTTTTATGGAGGACATTCATTTCAATAGCTTTATATTAAAAGTCTCCAGAAAACTGGAGTTAGTGTGATGAAAGACTTCCTGTCCTCACTGCAAAATCTAAACTCAGAAGTTAACTGGTAGCTAACTCTTAATTCAGAAGAGAAAAATGTTTCCCCTCATTCTGTGCTGGGTGAGGAGGGGTAGAGGGGGAGGGAAGCTCCTTCCCTTTGGGGTAGAAGGTGTTGCCTCATAAAGCCATTGGAGCGGCAGTGGGAAACTGAGCGAGCCATGAACCAGGACTTACCAAGCTCCTATTTTAATGCATGGTTGAGTTCTTTCCTATCTGACCTAAGAAAAGGAACTGCAACCTAAGCAGGGGGTCTTTTGGCTGCGAGGTCATAGTTCAGCTGGGGAGTTCAGGAAACAAAAGCATGCAGATGAAAATTTACTCCTTGGCAAAGAGCAGTTGTAGAGAAAGAAGAGAATACTGTTTCATACTGATAGGAAAGAAGTTAGCATGCGCATAATGGCATCCTTCAAAATGCACAAGTACTGTGACTGATGAGAAAAAAGGAGAAGCGTCATGATACTGTGTAAATTGAAAAATCTGGGGAAAACTGCAGCATTAGATCCTCCCCGGTGTTAATTGGTGTCGGTTTAAGCCACTGCATTTAAGGATGTTAGCTCAATAGCAGCCTAACTACAGTATTAGCAAATCTGGCCAATAACAGTGAAATTCTAGATGTATCTATCTGCATTACGTAGATAGCCAATCTCATAGTTCTGTTTCACTTTACAAAATGTAAAATGAGTATGCCAGATGTTAACAGAAAAACGGGGAAAGAGGCAATATGCAGGCAGTCTCGCCAACACGTTTGAGCTTCATTATCTAGTAAAATTTGAGGTGGAATTGAGCTAACCAAAGTCAGAGCCTTTGCTGAATGGGGCGGGGGGATAAGGCAAGGAAGCTGTGAGCAGGAGTCAGTTGGCATGAAAGGGGAGGGCCTGCAATAGCAAAGGGAAGAATACTCATGGTTAAACATGCAGGGGAAAAAAGTCAGTGTAATTACTCAAAGCGCCGGCTACAGCTACTTTTGTGCCAGCTATGGAAAGTGGATTGAATGTGACTGACGGGTTACAAACCCCTGTTGAAAGGGTGAGGGACAGGACAAAACCCAAAAATCTGGAAGCTATTAGTTGTTGTAAATTAGGATACGTTCACAAGAAAATAAAAATTACAGTAATTTTAATAGAAGTAATTTTAACATTTGAAAACAATTTCCTAACTAATTTTTAAATTAGTGAGCCATATTGCTATTAATGCTATTTTTTTTTAATCTAAGTCATTGGTGAAAACATGTAGCATGCATCTGTGTTTTATTATCGGACTTGATATCTTTAAGTATTGCTGCTAATGACAAATGTGATAGTTCTTGCCTTATCGAGGTTCAAAATATTCCTCAAGTTAAAACTTACCAGGCTGTTACTAGAGAGGAGGAATCATAATTTTGAAGATGTTTGGTTTTCATCCCTCTGAATGAGCCTTAAAAAGGAAAGAATTAAGTATAGCAATGTCAAGCTATAAAGTTGCTAAAATCGTGTTTATTTTACTGAGTTATGTTACTTGGTCACTGAACGGTGACTGACAAGCACAATTAGTTTTTATCCCTGAAGTTAGTAAAATCCTCCCTGAAAGCAATCTAAAACACCACGAAAATAAATAGATGGGTTTATGGCCCCACTCTCTCCTCCACACCCTACTTGTCCCACTCCCCGCAGTAGCGATACCCTTGGGAAGAGGTGTTTGCCAGCCCCCTCTGGCAGGAGTGCACACCTGGGGCTCCCAACAGCAACCAGAGCGCACCATGGCGCAAGGGCATGTGTCCTCCAAGCCTTTCAGGAAGGAAAGTCACTGTCAAGGCAACAGACTAAAACGTGGAATCCAAGGTTAATTGCCAGCTCTGTTACTAGAAATGTGTGTGATCAGATCGCCTCTGCACCGCAGTGCCTTTCACTAAAGCAAACGTAACGCTTCAGCCATCGGCAGTTGCGACTGGCTCAAAACACAAGAACATTTTTGAAGTTGACAGCAGAGGCAATTACAACTGTCATCCCAAACTTGTCATTTATGTCTTGACCCAAGCAGAGATTTTTGGGAGATGCTGGCTCTTGCTGCATTTTGCAGGCTTCCAGGCTATTCTCTGTGTGTCACCACCCACCCCAAGTCCTCATATGCTGCAAAGGAAGGGTCATTCCTGTCATTAACAAATGAGTCTGGCTTGTGGTAGGATGATTTTTTAGGCTGGGGGGGAATTACATTTGTTTTTTCTGGTGTAAGCAACCCAGGTAACAATGAAATACTTTGTGAACTCAGTTGTAATGAGCTCCCAAGTGAAAGATTTTCCCCAGCTTAGGAGGCTAATTCTCATACTTCTCTCATTCCTATCCAGGCGTTTAGCTCAGGAGCTCAGTGGTTACCAGTGAAAGTTGTTTGCTTGCTCCATTTAAAGTTTGAAACAAATACATTGTTATTGCCTTGGAAAACTGATCAAAACAAAGGTTTTACAGTATGTTCAGATTATAAGTACATGATCCTTGGATGATTTTTAAAATTTTTTTTTTTAAGAACTGAGAATTAAACGTCAGGAGTGGAGCTGAGCTTTAGTTAATGTGACTCAAGGCCTTGGAACATATATCCTTCTTAGGCTTAAAATGAAAATGCTACACTAAGCAAGTATGGCTGCTAAACCTTCAGATGGAGGCGGAGGAGCAGGCTGATGAAGAGAAGTTAGAGCCTTGGGTGATTTGAAGATGCAGACTTTTATTCACAGCTAGCAGCACCCTGACTGTAGGCCTGTTCGCAGGCCCCCACGTTTTCATGTGCTCTCTATTTTTTTTCTGCATGGGCTTGTAGTTTGTCTGAGAGCCATCCAGCAGTGGGTCTGCCTGTTCCTGTGGGAATAGGTCACAGCATCCCTGTATCTGCTTGTTTTAAAGATTAAGAGCAGTTTGTTCTGAGGAGGTTATTTTAATCCTTCCAGCTTCTGTCATGTCATGAGCAAGACTGCATCAGAGCCATCAAGTTTCCTGAACATGCCAGGAGCCCACTGGCAGTACCTGAAATGTACCGTGGGAGCAGATAATTACCACTGCAGGGCTCTTTAGACTGGCCAGAGCTCCAAAAACACCCAGCCTGTGTATTGTGGTGATCTGTTTAACAGAACCAAAGATTCCCGCTCTCGTGTCTTCAAGCACTGGAGAGAAGGAAACACATGCTTTGCTTGTTTTTTAAAATCCTTGTTATTTTGTCAAATGCTGTAACAAAAAGCAGCAGGTGTGTTCTCAGCCAACATGGCTTCTCTCTCTGGACAACAGATCCTCATCTCTCCTATTTATGGCAAATGGCTTGTGATCAACTGCAGTGATTATGGTGTGCATATATCCATGAGACATCTTGACGTTCAAGCCTGCATATACGTGCATGGCGGTTTTTTGGAGTTCACCTGCAAGCTTTACAACTCTGGCTGATATTCATGCTTTCCATCATCCAGGTCAAGAGTTCTTACCACCTTTACCTTTGCCAGGTGGCCAAACCAAGTGAGAAAGATCCTTCTCCACCACCTTGTCACTGTGACACTTCACAGCTGCTGCAGAAATGGGATGAGAGATCCACCCAGCCAGTTTTCCTATGGCTCCTTCTTCTGAGCAAATTCTCAGTCAGGGTGCCCACAATCTCTGCCAACAGAACATTCAGGATATGTTAACTTAAGTGATTAAAGGGAAGCTAACATCCCCTTCCCTGTCAGGAAACATTCAGGCTCTAGCTGAGATAATAGCAACATCACTGAAGATGAAAAGCCAATAACTGATTTATTATTGGGCAGATACAAATGGCTGTTGCAGGAGTCATCCATAAAGCAAAGAGAGCGCAAAAAAATTCCAACAGCCTGTTCCTCAAAATAGAGGGGATGATACTCTGTTCAGGCCCCCCAAAGAAATCTGGAATTACCAGTGATTATCACATGCTGTGCTTACAATGCTTTCATCCAACATTTAAAGCCCTCGAGGGTCACCCTGAGGCAGCATTGGGAGGCTGTGACAGAACTTGTTTGATTCTGTTTTTTAGCTGTGATAGTATCCAAGTGCCATGTTCTTCAGTAACTGCCTACTCGGAGTCCCAGATAGATAAAAAGAGCTCAGCCCTTTCTTTCTAAACCTCACAAAGTCCCCTTGAACCACTACCTTAGAGGGCTTCTTACCTCCGCTAACAAGCACGACAGTCTTCTCCATTCCAAAAGCCAGTCACCATTCATTTCTACTCGCCATTTTCTGTGTCACCATTCACCCCTCTGCCAAGGACGCCACACCTCAGTTTGTATGCCTCTGTCACCCACGTGTGCACTCTCAAGACCATCTAAGATGTGCATCTGGAGAGCATCTAAGTGGGTCACAGAGTGACCACCTACCACAGGGCTGGCCAGCCGCTGCCTCGGAATAACATTCAGTTCAAGCAGAGTGAAGGATGCCCATGCGTGCACACGTAGGTGGACACAGGCCTGCAGCCATGCTCCCCGTGCTTCAGGAGCGGTCTGAGAACCACAGGGCTGTGAGACACCACAAACCACAGCCCTGTATTAAATTGCATACCCCTGGTATGGCGGCAAACCTGACAAAATTCAGAGTTCAGTTACTGATACATGAGCAACACTGTTCATCTACTGGTGACCTCCAGTGGGTTCCACACTAATTGGAACGCTTAAGATACAGCCACCATTCAAGGAGGAGCCCATGCACTCCCTCCCTTCCCCCACCAGCCTTTCAGTTGCTTTCAGCAGTATAATATTCACTGGTTGGTTCTGGAACTAGAGAATGATACTTACACTTGGTACTTGCTGGATTAATACACCTTACAAGGCAGTAAGTATCTATAAAAGCAAGAGCATTCCTGAAAACTTAGCTTTGTTTTCTGCGCTAAGATCTGCTGAAAGAAACTGCTGGAGTCTCTCGTTTCCCTTCTGCGGGTGTTTCCTTAAAGGAAAAAATAAAAAAAAGGACTGGCCAGCTGCCAAACTGTGGAGGCACATAAATATCCCGGGGCTGTGCCAACACGGCTGCCGAAGCAGTAGCAGCAGCCCCCTCCTGAGAATGTCCGGGATCCACCAGGGAGATGGTTTTTTGGAAGTGTCTCCCAGCCTCCACCTTCTTTTCCACCGCTGAGCAGTGCGGAGTTTCCTCAACGCTGAGCAGAGCTGGGCTCAGCGTGCTGCCCTGCGGACCGGAGCACTGGATCACAGCGATTCTTTCCACCTCCTCCTTTCTTTCAGAGAAAGCAGCTCCTACCGCAGCCATGTATGGGAGCCAGCCGGTCAGCTCGAGCGCCAGCAGCCAGCGTGGTGCTCAGCGGCCCCTGCTCCACACAGGAGATAGATAGATGATACTTCTCTTCGTCAAAAAGGGGCAGGCAAGTTCATACAACAGGTGCAACTGAAGGAATGTCCTAGTTTCTGGAAAGCAAATGCATTTTGTGACACTTAAGTCTTGCGTTCTCTGATAATGTAAGTAAGTACTGAAATGGTTCTTGCTGTGCTATCACGGCCCCTTTCTCCAAGGTGTCTCAGAGCAAACAGGGAGAATAGACAAGATACTTAATTTGCACAAGTACTTTACATCTAATGTTTCTTTTTGAGGTGGTTGGCTTACTATTTAACAATTTAATAAATTAGATTTTTTTAAAAATAATACTACTATTATTATTATTACAGGGTAGCTGCTTGCATAATAGAGTGTACCCTAGAGGCTGGGAAGCAGCTAGCTGAATAGCTAGCTAGCTGGGAAGCGCTCTGCTGAAAAGGATAGGACTTACAGTGGACGCCAAGTTGAACGTGGGCCAAGAGAGTGTTCTCACTGCAAGTAAGGCAAACCACAGTCTGGGCTCCATCAGGAAGTACGTGGACAACAAATCGAGTGACGCGCTTATCCCCTGGTACGTGACACTGCTGAGGCAGCGCGTACAATATTGCTGTCCAGCTTTGGGCCTTGGTCAACAAGGCTGTCAAAAAAAAGGTAGAGGCTCCAGTGAAGGGCTCTTAAGGTGTTCAGGGAGCTCAAGCGCATGCCCTCTAGAAAAACGGTGGAAGGAGTTGGACTTGGTCTGAGGAGGACCAGGCTGTGTGGTGACCTCATAACTGCCTAATACTGTCTGCAGGACAGTTACAAAGATGGAGCCAAACGCCTCCTGATAGTTGCAGATGATGTGGCAGGAGCCGCAAACTCTAGCTTGGGAGCTTCAGGCCGAGCAGCAGGACAAACTGTTGTGCTGCAAGGGCAATGCAGCACTGGAATAGGTGTCCCAGAGAGGTCGTGTAGTTTCCACCCTGGCAGGTTTTCAAGCTTCCGCTAAACAAAGCCCTGGCTGACCTGAGTACCAGTGCCAGCCCTGCTGCAAGCGGGAGGATGGACTACATCTCCAGAGGGCCTCGCGAACAACATTTCTGTGATTCTGTGACCTACTGAGAGGCAGAGACTCTGCAAAACTCAAGGCAGAAAAAGCCCAGTGCAGTGGACCACCCACACAGTAACATCCCGTTTTGCTTTCAGGAATTCATTCCTTCCGATGCAGTGCTCCCAGGCTGGGCTGGAGGCCCCACAGGTGCTCCGACAGCAGCAGGGAGCATGAAGCAGAGATGACAAAGTGCGTACAGTGTGGAGGTGCTAGTCTTTGGGTATGTAGCTCTGCTGCTCGCAACGTGCATGCGATGCTGCATGCGGATTCTGCTAGCTCAACTATTTCCGACTCTTGTTTCTCAGCATGATGTAAGCAAACCCAAGTGTCATTTCTTTCAGAAAAAAAATATTACAGTAAATCACTCCAACGAGGCTTACTCATTTCCTCTCCCCCATCTCTTACTACCTTCTTACCAGAGAGACAAAAGTCCTTTTATAATACAAGGGCTTATCTCACCTGCTTGCTCAACAGCCCCACAGAGCTGAAAGTTCACCAGAGATGAAAGAAGAACTGCGCCCTTCCTGCATCTCTCACCTTGTAAACAATTGCTGGTATTTTAAGCTTGCCTTTATATCCAGGGACATCTTCAGTACTATTCTGGACCTTTCTATTTTACAACTCTCTTGGGCATCAGCACCATTTCAGAACTCGTGCTCCATCAGTGCTCCTCACCAGCACAGACCTCCCCACATCTAAGGCAAACCAGTTTTTGTTAGAAGCTGGTGGAAAACCGCCAGAGCACAGAGTGGCAGAAAATTAACATAGGCTGATGTGACATAAACGAGGGCCACATTCAGACCAGAAGACACATACTTGCTTTTTTATGCCACATTAGTTATCAGAGGTGTCCTAGTAAGCAGCTGTCTAATCCTAGCTAAGGGAGAATTAACGCTGAGAAAAACAAGTGCCCTTTCACTTATTGTGTGCTAACCAGGCAGCAGATCCCCAAATCATTATTTAGTGTAAATTGCAGCTGTCCGTGACTACCAAGTAGTAAAATTTTTCTGAGCATGAAAAAGTTTGAGGGAAAAATTGGCTAGGCTGTCTTACCAATAGTTTCTATTTCAGTAACTTTTAGGACCAAGATTACTCTGCAGATCAAAGATTGTCTACTAAACCAGAAAAGAGAACAAAGAACGTGCTCTAAAGTAACACTTGTATATCATCACCCTCATGAGTAATTATATTACAAGTTTTTTACATTTGCCTTAATTTTTTCTCTTTTGATGTTGACTGCGTTAAGCATTTAGCATCTTTTTTAAGCTACAGCTGAGTTTATGTAGCAATTGATTCATTGCTGAATCTTCCTGCCACTCCCAGTGCTGGCAGAAAGACAAACTAAGGCAAGAGTCACAACCAGATTAATTACTGGCCAAGTCCTGATTTCAGCCGATTCCCTGCAACGGCTAGCTCTAGAAAGGCCTGCTGCACTGGAGGAGACAGCTTGTGCCTCGGTCACCAGGCAAAGGGAGAAAAGCTGCGCCAAACTAATCGCTAATCTGCTATTAAAATAACGAGAGGCCCCCTCCACCTACGCAGGGTGGCTTTGTCTAGGATGAGGTGAACTGCGCGTGACAGAGAGGCACTGCTCTCACTTCACCACAGCCGGTTGGTTTGTTAGCACCAGAGTTACAAAGCTGCCCTACTGAATTTCCGCTTTCCTCTCAGCAGTTTTTTCTGACATCCTGGAGCTCTCCCCATCCTCCACAGCACTTTAGGCTGAGACAGCTCCCGCTGTACTTACTCCTACATTACTAGTTCACAACTACGGTATATGCACACTTCTTTGCTTGGGAGAGTCCAACCCCTGGCTATTGAACATCTGCAGGAATATTAATGTACCTCACACATCTCTAACTCAGTTTGATTTCTTGTGGCTTAGTCTGAGCTTGTGCTTTTAGAAAGCACTGGCCTGGTTTTCCAAAGGGTCATGAACTGGGAAAACTCCAACTCTTAAAAGATGACATCATCACCTATTTCTGTTAAAAACATTGGTCAAGAGTGTTGTAAGAGATTAAAAAAAAAACAACAAACCAGTGGCTTACACCATGAAGACATTTTTTTTTTTATGCAAGTGGCATGGACTGCATGTGGCATTGTTAAAATGCTGGTTTAATTCATTCTGCTATCAGAAAAATCGGGCAGAATTTCTAAAAATGTCTTTGCTGATCAAGAATTATTCTGCAGTAGGCACTGAAAGGAACCCGTGTTCAGGTGCTGCTTGCACCGAGCTCCTACACACACGCGACAGCATTGCTGAGGACTCCCTGTGCAGTGCAGGAGCAGTGCAGCATGCTAGAGGGACCAGCTCACAACAGCAGAACTGGGGTTTGGCAACAGGGATCGCGCATGGCACCCCAGAACAAAAGCCAGGCCCTGATGTCCCACAGGTAGGAGTCCATTTACCCTCAGAGCACCCAAGACACAGCCCCTTACCAATACCACAGTGCCTCAGGGAAACACCTCCATTTACACTGTGCTTATCCTAGCAACTGTTACTAGCAAAGGCAGAAATACAACTGGAGTATTTTTTCAAGTGGGAACTTCCTCTCGAGATACCCACCACAGACCTGCCTCCAGCCTGCAGCTAAGCACACATGGCCCCATCACACAATGTGGGGTGGCTACAACCTGTTGTAAGATGAGACATGTCAGCAGCTTCAGCAGACAGGGCTGCAAGGAAGGTACCACCAGCAGCAGCGTTGCTGTTAACAGCTGCACAGACAGCATACGCCACGTTCCTACTGCTACCGAACCAGGTCCAAGGCTCTCCAGGTTTGGACTCCATTAAAAAAAAAAACAAACAAAAAAACCAACCAAAAACCACTCAATTAGAAAAAAGCAAAGCCAGTTTGTACTCTATTAGAAGAAAACTGAACACACAAGAACCCCAAACCCCTACTGTACATCACTAGCATCTGCACCACCACTGCCAGCAGCACGGCTCCTCTAGTACAGGAACTTCTCATGTAAACAAGTCCTTGTAAGCTGCGAGAAGTTACTCAACCTGGCAGATGGCTCAGCGCTCTCCTTTTGGTAACGTACAGCTGGGCTTTCCTCACCTTTCTGTAGCCATCACAGCTAAGTTTTGTATTGCCTTTGTTAAACACAAACTGCAGATTTAAGTGTTTGGGTTTCTTTTTAAATATTGGTGATTTTCCAGGTAGCTTTTTCTATACAAGCCATTTTCACATGGCAAAATAAATCCCTTCTTTAGGAATAATCGGAGCCAAGATAAATTAAGGGAGTCTCTCCTTTGTGGGTGGACCCAGGCTGGAGGAAGACACAACCACATGCACATGCTGCTCTCTGCTCTGCTGCAGTAACAAGCAGGGCTGTACTTGGACTTTTCTGTCCCCTCTCTGAGGTATGTGCACCTGCCTCAGCAGTGCTTATGTTGAAGCTTTTTTGAATTCTGTACCTCAGAACGCAGGCACACCTGTACCTGAACTTACCAAAACAGGTTTTTTTCATACAAGAGTATTTTTAGTAGAAACAGATACTCCTCTTTCAAGTGCAAGACAGTTGAAGCATTTCCTCTTGTGTGCCTTTTTTTTTAAACACCATACATTGCAGAATTGAAAACAAAACATCCGACTTTTGAATTAAAATACAAGCTTTACAACCACATAGTAAGTGTAGGCTCTTATATTTCAGTTTAAGACTATATCATTTTATAGAGTACCAAAATAAGCAAAGGATCAGCACTCCATACAAAGTGTTAGTTCTTGTGAGGAGGGTAGAAGGGAGATGGACTTTAATTACACTAAACTTTTTTTGCAAGTCTGAAGAAAATTCCATTTCAGCAAAACAGATTTGGGTTTAGATTCCCCACATTTCTAGTTCATTAAATAGTGTTTCTTTAAAAACAATTTACATTTTTCTCATTCAAAGTAAAGGGATGATTTAAAGGAGTATTAACAAGGAGGGTGGTGCTGTTCATGTTTAATGTCAATATGCAGTGTTATCTGCTAGGAAGGCTAGAAGAGCAACACAACTTTACTTCTGAAGACTATTAGAAATGGACTAACATTTGAGAAAAGTTTAAAGCACACTACACTGGCTCGAGGTCTAGCTTGCTGCTGGTAAGCCTCTGCTAGTCTGTACACTGCCATGAGGAACGAACTCAGCAGGCAAATCCCAACGCCCAGATGCTGGCAGCGACGTGTGTTTTCACACATGTACCCCCGAGTCCCACTTAGGACAGTTCTGTCTCTCCCCTGTCTTAACGGCATTAAAATGCAAGGAAATTAGCAGCTAACATCGCCACTACAATTTTACAAAAGCATTAAGTCTGAACAAAATAGCAGTTAAACCAAATTGAAGCTCTCTGTTCAACTCCAGGATTCATTCTCCATGACAACCCTCCTTCTGTCCTACCCCCTGTCCAGTTTATTCCCCCACTCCTTCCCTGATGTCTATTTTACAATAAATAGGTTAAGTGGATTTACATGATGCAAACGCAACTCAAAAGACTTCTGCCCTATACATATAACCATGTTAAGCTGTGAGATTATACACGTGATATATCTCTAACAGAGCAACCACCAGTTTAGATTTTTTCCAAGAAACACAAGTATTTCAGCATGTACACAGTAATGACTTTAAAACTGTCCAACATCATTGCTTTCATACATTCTCTTCCTCTTTATAGCCTTAAAGGGATTTTAGACCTTGATGGCAACAATCCCAAAACAAGAGTAAAATGAATTTATTTTATTGCAAACAAACGTCTAGAGTTAAATTTCTCCACCCACTTTCTTTAAAGAGAAAAGGAATCAGCAGGCTAAGGAGATACACCCATTTGAGAATTGACATGATTAAAAATTAGCTATAAAATGGGTGACTCACAGTTTCATTAGCTTACAAAATGGTGGAGTAACTACTACAAGCACACTAGGTATACAGTATTTTGTGGGGAAAGAGTTATACAGACACACAGCTAACTTCATATAGATCCCATTAGACAACTGGATTTACAACAAGTTTTGTTTAATAAGAAATGGGCAAAGCCAGCTTCTTTTCAGAATCAAAATGCAGAACAAATGGAAAAGAAATTATGGTGTTGTACCTTCACAAGTTTGAGCCTCCACAAATAATGCAACCAAGTTTTACAACTTTAAGAGCTTCTACATACACTCCACCTTCACTATTTAGCCCCAGGTTTCCTCTTTGCCCCCAGCATCTCATTGAGTTCCAAATGTTACAAAAAAGTCCTAGTTATTGCCAGAAACTTTTACCTCCCCCTCCTCCCCTCCCCACCCAGAAGCTTCATAGAGAGGATGGAGTGTAATATGGAGCTTTACATAATCTCATGGTATTCATGAGGGCTACTAAGGAGCCTCTGTACGAATCTGGTTGCTAACATTTCTATCGTATTGTGACATGACTCACGACTGTTTCTTAGAAATTGGGGGATGGGGAAAAAGGAGAAAATTCTTTAATAAAAAGACACCAGGTACAAAGCAACGTTTTACTTTTGTTGTGGTAAAAAAAAAGTCACATTTTACAGATAAAATGTAGAACCCTGAAATACTGACACATTCTCTTATCGTGCACAATGCTGAGGTTCTCTTACGAATCACTTTAAAACTGCAATTAAAAATGTACAAAAAAAGAAAAGAAAAAAAATCAACCCACAAAGCTTCTAAAAAAGGAACCCGCAGGCACTTCCTCTTGTGGAATGTTTAAAAAGTTAGCCTACTAAAGAAAACAGTCGACTTCTTGTGAAGGTTTTGGAGAAATATGTATCAGTTCATTTATTTGGGTATTCAATAATATCCTTGGTGATAATGCTGACTCCATGGCTTCTGACCCCAGAATTGCTGCAATAAATGGATAAATAGTTAATTTTAACCTGTAATCACATAATGGTTACATTTCTTACAGAAAAAAAAGCATTTAACAAACATCTAGTTCTGGAACTTGAGAAGATTAAAGCCCTCCCAAATAGCAGCAAGTTCCTTAACAACTGAAGGCAGTTAAGAGTTCACTTCACAGTAGTAATGTGAAGCCAAATACTACATGCCATTAAGACGGGTAAGCCATAGCTGATATTTGATATATCAAGACCATCAAGCCAGATTAAGTTCTGCACAGAAAACTATTTATAGTGATATTACCCAGCACTAAAAGATTCTGCTATCCAGTTTTGATTACACATCTAATTATTTCAGACAGCATTTTGAAACACTCCAGTTAACAATCAGTGAAAAGGTAAAGTTATGACTACTTACACCCTGCTGCCACTGGTTGTAGCCCTGAGATTGGTTTTTGTAGCCACGATTATTTCCCCTTCCTCTGAAGTTCTGCAAGAGGACAACAGTTTTTAACTACTTCATCTATATAGATTTTTCAGAAGTGTACTAATACCAATCCTTCTATTACCACCAAACCATCACAGACCATATGGAATCTTTCAAATACAAGGTATCAGGCCGAGGTTAAAAAAAACCCCCAACCACCACCACCCCCCTGCCACAAAAAAAACAAACAAACAAAAAAAACCCCCAAAACAAAAAAAAACAACAAAAAAACCACACCACAAAACCCGAAAAACACTAGAATACCAAAAGCCTCTCCCCCTCCTCCAAGGAACTGCTTCTTAAACATGGAGCAAGAACCCCAGAATTAATAAGCCAGCTCAAACTGTTGTTGCCAGTGTTCTGGAAAGCTGGCTAATCCAGTTTTGACTCACCCTATTTCCAGCTGCTGAACTGCACCAGGACAACTAAAAATACAAGAGCTTGCCTATTTTTAGTTAGGAAAGGCTGTAGTTGCTACAAGGATGTGTTATCTGATCAGACAAAAGGATATGGGTCATACAACTGAAAACGGAAGAGCTAGTCCACAAAACTTCAAGTACAATTTATGGTACAAAAAAAGGGACATTGATACTAGTAGATAAAATAGTGCATTTCCCCTGTTTGTCAGTATTAGACAAACCTGAGCCATGTTTACTAGCATGGGCTCCATCTGCTGGCTCTTCAGTAATCAAAATTATGTTTTCAAATACTTCCACTGATATTCCATCAGTTAAGACCATGCCTAGTATATCTTTACTAGTTATGTTTGATACCAGACACCAAAACAAAGACTCTCTCCAGAGCTATTTCCAGCAAGTTCTCTAAATGCTTGATAAAGATACATCTTGACCCTAAGGCCAAACAACGGTTACTACTGTTTGGAGAAAAAAAAAAAAATTAGGAAAGAAAAAAAAAAAGAGAGAAAAAAATCAAACATCAAACACAAGCCTTCACACACATGACCTAAAAATCTTCATCTTTAACAGGACAGAGGTACAGTCTTAACATGGAACCTCCACATCAGCATCAGAACTTCTTAGGCCATGTTCAGAGCTCTGGGCACACACAACAAACTAGAAAGCTAGGCCTTTCAGTGTGGGATTAGTGTAGTACCACAACCAAGTTGGTGGCTATTCACAGCCACCAAACCTTTCAAACATCATCCAAATTACTGTAGTTCAACTAATAAATCCCCCCAAAGCATCACCTGGTTGTAGTTTCCCCTGTTGGGCATTCCACCTCTGTTATAGTTGCCTCTGTTTGAGTAGCCACCTCTGCTTGGAAAGACAGGGCCACGAGGATATGGGTAGCCAATTGCACCGCTGCTGCCACCGCCGCCACCGCCACCACCACCACCTCGCTGAGGCATGTTGCCTCCCCTTCTGTTGTATCCACCGCGATTGCCAGGGACTGCAGGGAGAGAGTTACTTCAATCAAGTAATTGTTAGCTCTCCAAGTACTTCTTACGTGAAGATTATTGTTCAAAATAATGATGGTATTGAAATAAAACATCCAAATTCAGTATAAAAATTTCAATGCAAAGATTAAGTCATCTGGTCATAATGAAAACTGGTAACTTAACCATGTACTAGCCCCCAGTACAGTCTGGCACATAAGCAAACACCAAACCTAACATAAAAACTCAAAACTGTGCCTCAAACCACATGGACAGTGTAATCCAGGATTTTGACAATCCTAACTTTTAAAATTGGACAACTATCTTTGCACCAATACTTTAAACTTACTGAAATTGAAATCAAGGGTGCCACTAAGCAATAGTTGCAATGCAAGTACTACAACCTTTCTTCCCCCCAGCAGCAACAACCTCCAAAATTTACAGGCTTATTTCTTGGCTCACCTCCCCCTCTGAAGTTGCCACGCATGTTGAATCCTCCACGTCCTCTCTGACCCCTATTAAATTGATTTTTATTGCTCTTCTTGTTCTTCTTTGAGCCAGTGTTCTGTTTCTTTTCTGGTGGAAGAGACTTCTTACTTTCTTCTTTATATTGTTCCAAAAGCTTCTGAGCTTCTTCTTTTTGCAACTCTACATAGATTATTTCATCAAAACATTCTGCTACCTCTGGCAGTGTGAAGTTCCCTATAATTGCAAAAACACTGAGTATTCAGCATCTACATTCAGCTACAACCAAAGCCATAATTTAACCACCTTTCTCCCATTCTTCCTCCCACCCCCCTGCATTCCCTCAGCATAGGGACAAAATTACGTAATCTGAACATTTAAGAAATGTAACAGTGACAAAAGAAATAAACAGGTCTTCATGGAGTTGCCAGTACTGTTCCAAACCTTGAAAACATTCTGCCTATATCTTTTTTCTTTTATAAGCCTCCACTCAGAACACCAGTTTCTGCCAAATACGTCACTTATATAGGGCACTTTATGCCAAGACAGCTTTGTGCATCTGCATGAAGCATATCAGCATAACTGAGTAGTGTTAAGGACTGCAGCAGAGGGAACACAATATAGTGTTGTCCTACAAGTTACAATAGTCTTCCAGTTTTGTTTAAGTACAACTGTTTAAGATAAAGTGATTTTTTAGACTTCACGTTTACTTAATCCTTTAAACAGATACTCAGCATCCTAAAACACAGTATAGGATTATGTTCCATGCCTTTCATTTTGAGAACTGCATGCTCTGGAAGATCTTTTCCCTCCACCTCTGCCTTCTTTTGTGTTCTTTGCTTGTAGTCTTCATCTTTTGGGCAAACAACAACTGCTTTGCGCTGGAAGCCTGCAAACAGGCACATTTTTCTCCTCTGCGCAGCTGCAGACACATTTGTCTGAAAAAAATGCAGTAACTTACTACACGTAGCTGTCATTGTAAGAGTTAAGGAAGTCAACTTATGGTGTATAGACTTCACCTCTACAAGAGCTTGCAATGAAGTTTACAAATAACTGGACATAAAGATGCTGCATAATGCAAAGTTACGAGCTCATATCCACGTGTTAAAACACTATTCCTCCCACATCCCATAAATCCAGAGAAGTTCAGACAAGCATTTGTAGTAATATCTCAACTTTGCGTCCCCTGAATGAGTAGTAAGTGAAACAACTGCTATTACAATGTAACTTTAATCCCATTTAATTACTGCACTACAGCCTATAACAAAACTTCCTTAACCCTTTTTCACTGAAGCTTCTACCTGATCCAAAATGAAATTCCGCTTCTTACGAGCTGCGATCTCAATGAACTTCCCCAGACACTGTGGAGCTCTCTGCAACAGTGTGTTAAGTTTTCCAGTGTCCGCCATCTGCCGCTTAAAACCTGCAACCTACAGAGAGATTTCCCAGAGTTAAGTAGCCCCGATACATGTGGCTGACATTTTTCTTTGCTAAATGCTTTTCACCTCGCTTCAAGGATTGTTCAAGGCCACAGCTACAAACTCATAACTGCAATTGCCAAAGCCTCCATAAGACATAGAGCTTTACAAACAAAGACACTAGGTGAATCAATACAGCTGAATCTAAGGTATACTCATTACATTACTAATTCAAAGCTAAGCGTTCTATTCTGAGGACACCAAAATAAAGAGAAGAAACAGTCAACTGTTGACTATTTAAGTATGTAGTACCACAAAAAGCTTCCAAATCCTGCTGTGCCATGCATGAGCTGGCAGCTCAGCAAGACAACAAAACTTTAATGGTCACTAGCTAACCAGCAGCTGGTTTCTCAGATTTCTTTGATACAAAACAAGCCCATGGCAGCCAAAGACCTTGGATTTACAGCAAGTCTTTAACATACCAAGAAATATCACTTACCATCATTTTGTCCATAATAGTGTTTGTCCCAAGAATGTTGTATTTCCCAGGATTTGCTGCTGCATGTTTGGTAACCCAGGTAGTCTTGCCAGCTCCAGGCAAGCCAATCATCATCACCACCTGTGACAACAGGTTCTGTATTTTAGATACTAGTTCAAAGGTTTTCTTTAATATGCACCTTAGACCAGCAAGCCTAATGGAAAGTGAGTGGGGGGTGATGAAGAGTCACCGGATACCAAGTATTAAAGCTCCCAATCAAAAAGGTCGGAGTGTTGTACAATAGTCTGCTTAAACTCCACCACTTCTGTTCATCTATCTCAACAACCTTGAGATTATCAATGAGAAACTTACCTCACAATCTTTCTTTTGCTCAGGTCCCTTTGGTCCTCGGACCCTATCCTCCAGGGGAACCTTCTGGATGAAGGTATACTCTTCAGGTACAGGAAAGTAAGGTTCCTCCTTCTGACCAAAGTTGAACTCAACTGCACAGTTATGGCAGAGAACATGTGGGAAGAGTGGCCGCCCATCAAGAACTTCCTTACTTATTTTGAATGCAACACCAAGCTCTTGTCCATTCTTGGAATATGAGAGTTCCACTTCATCACCATCAAAATTCTGGTTTTCAAGACAAAGCATTAGTTTGGATAAAATTACTCACCTCGCACTATAAAGTTATATTAGACATTTCACTATATTGGCTATATTCACTCAACTCCTGCAACAGTGTTTTATTATAAAGGATCTACTTAAAAGTTTTCTCCTAAAATGAGTTACTGTCAATGATCATCTCGTTCAAGATCTGATTTATTTTTTTCTAAAAGGCTTTGAAGACATTTCTCTGTGAATATAAAATCTTAACACATTGACAACAGTCACTGTTGATAATGCCTGCTATTTCTACCTCCTCCCTATAGTAAACAACTTGTCTTGCTCCAAGTTCTTCCTGTATCTGGTTTACGGCTTCTCACATCAAAGCAGTCTAAAAATTCAAGGATGTTTTTCCTCAAAAGAAAATATAAGTGAAAACTTACAGCAAAACATCCAATCACATCATTTTCATCAAACTTCTCACCAAAGTCTTCAGTCTCACAATTGCATGTCTTTATTCCTTTTAGAGAATACCCATAAGAAAACTCTTCTTCACCTGAAGAAATAATTTAAACTTATTAAAAATAGGCATTTTTTAGAAATACAATCAATTCACAGCTACGTAAGTAAGCTGCTGTTCAGTACGTTTTTTTAATGCCAAAACAAGCTATGACCCCTAAACAGCTACAGCTTGTTCTTGTATTCAAGAATACTGACACCTGAGATAGAACAGCAGTATCTCCCCCATCCCAGTTTTAATAGCCTTATGCTGCTGGTTCCAGATTCATGTTGACATAAAACTGAACTGCCACATAAAGAAATGAGCAAGTATTTTTAAACTCTGAAGACCTGATTATGCACCAGTATACCTGTAACGTAGTCAGAAAGGCTTTCTGAATTTATTCTCCAGTAGCACTTACCCCTCCCCATTTTAAAGGGAGTTTAGCAGACATTCAGCCTATGCGACAACTGAGTATGAAGCTGCAAGGAACAAGCTAACAGAAAGTGTCAAACACAAGGACCCAGGTGGAACTTAAGTACTTAACTAGAAAGCTGCTGCTGCTGTTAGAACATACCAAATTCATATACATTTCCCACAAACATATGTCTCAGCAGCAAGTATTAGTTATAAATACCATTATGATCAGTTCCCATGTATCTAATGAAATTGTACTTTCTTCTTCCTAGCTACTTTCAGAAATGAGGATTCTGCCCCCAAGTCAAAAGAATTATAATGTAGCTATCCAGGAATCTTTCTTCACTGGTTAAATCTTATACCATGCCCCACCTTTGAATAATAAAAAAAAGGGGGGGGGAGGGGCTGCGAAACCCCTCTTCCTATTTATGACACTACACGAAAAGGAGAAATCCTTAACCTTGTCAGGTCTTCAAAAGAATGTTCTCCACAACCCACACCTGACCACTGAAAGAATTAACTCTCAAATCATGTACTCCTTACAGGCCTGAGTATTTAATGACTTTATTTGGTCCCAGTAATAAACTTTCTTGTACCACAACCAGGGAACGATTCAAGATAAGACTTCTCAGAACACACAGACTACAGTTGCTAAGCTTTTCCCATCTGCTTAAGAAAAAACGACAAAACTTCAACCATATACACAATAATACAGAAGTAACCAAATGTTTAAGTCTTACCAAGCAACATTCCACTTGTGTTCAGTGACCAGCCAACTCGTACTTCATGTATGTCAATGTCTTTTGTATACAGGTGTTTAACAGGAATCTTTTCTGTAACCTATTTTTAAATTATTCATTAAAAGGTATGTAGTATTTATTAGACATTAACAAGATGGAAACACAAAGGTAACATCTGGAAGCTTTACACTTCACTTTCTGCAAAAATAAACATGCTTAAGTACGTGAAACCACAAGCTAATGAATAAATAGTTGCATCTCCTGACTGACTGAGCAATGAAGATGCAAGATACCATATACCTTCAAAGCACTTAAGTCATAGCAGTCCCTCTCAGTGGCCAAATGCCTTAATCCTTTTGACACTGTATTAAAATCACAAAGATGTATACATGTATTTAAAAAAAATAACTGCCATAAAGTTGGGATTAATAGGAAATTAACTTTGTCAATAAAATGTGGTAATGGATAAAAAAAATTGCTTTACCAAGACTGGGGAAAATACTACACTCATCCCTTTCCACAGTAAGCAGACTTCCTGGGCAAGTTACCAGCTTCCAAGCAACATACCCAGATTCAAAAAAAGCCACCTAAAAGCACTGGAATTTGTAGGCAACCAGCTATTTTCTAACTCCCTTTACAAACTTCACGAAACTAAAGTGAAAAACTTATCAGCATCCTACCAGTTTCCACAACTATTCCAGTCAGGTGACCGAGGTGAAACTGATTTGAAAGTGAACAGGGCAATAAATACTGTCATCAATTTCACTTCACTGGCCTTCCAAAGTTATAGGTACCAACACAGAAATCACTCAATGAAAGAGCATGGAGAATGGGATCACTACCCACTCCTCATGGTAGTGGTTAGATTTGAAAGTACTAGAGGAGGAGAGTAAGCCTTTATATACACAGGCACATCATATGCAAAGAAGCCTTTAAAATTGTTAAGTAATAAATAAATAAAACCAAACTCTATGCCTCCTGTTCTTCTTTTGCCAAAAAGTGGGAGAAATCTGTTTATTACAACGCTGATTGCTCTTCGCCATTCTCACCCTTTAGGAGAACTCTCGCTCTCAAAATTCAAGTATCTGTAAATACATGCACGGCATACACAAGTCAGAATTATTCAGGTTGGAAGGGACCTCTGGAGGTCATCTAGCCCAAATCCTTGCTTTGAGCAGGTCAAACTCAAAGACTAAGCAGGAACAGAAAAAGGACTGCTGGGATACTTTATATGCCTTAAAAAAAAAAGAGCCAAGCTTTCTGTAATCTTCAGAAAGTACATGCAAACTTCTGACTAGCAAGTATCAAAATTCTTCCAAGTGTTGATGCATGAGGTGCCAAATAAAATTCTTTGTTCAAAAATGAGATCAGAAGTTACACATTCAGGGCAAATGCAAGGTGCTTTTTTTTTTTTCTTAAATGGAAGTTCTTATAGAAGAGGAAGCAGTTTTGCAATTGACCAATCTTTTATCAAGAACCATTTCACAGGCTTCTAAGAGAAGGCCTTCTGAAAGTCCTGTTCACCTGAAATAGTTTCAGCTAAGTCCAAAAAAACTGACAAATATAAACAGTATTATATTTAAGCATGCAAAACAGTCTCCCATAAAACATCAGTTTAACTCACCTTCATCTCAAAGCAGACTTTGCCTTTAGAAACTCCATAGGAGGCTCTCCCTCCAGCCCAAAGGAAAGCAAAGCTTTCCATGGTCAGAGAGGAAGCACTAAACCGGTCTCTTGAGATTTTAAAATGCAGGTCACAGTTATCTGTTAACATAAAAATCATTCCGTTTACTCTTATTACAAAATAAAGTACAGCTGTCCAATGTTATGCATTAAAGGTGATTTCAGCTTTCAAAGGTGATTTTCAAGACAAACTGTCAGCAAGTGCTCAGCATCTTTCAGGAAGCAACTGAACACATGCCTAGATGGAGCTGCAGGCTGAAGCTCAGCCAAAAATCTTAGGAAAAGCTAGCTAACAAGAATAATTTTCAAGGTGCCATCTTCACTCCTGTCACCAAATTCCCTCTATTTTTTTCTATCTGCTTAAAAACCTGAATTTCACCTCATCTGTTCTAACTTTTTTTTTTCAGTTACCTGAGATACTTCCATCAATACAGAGCAAAGGAATCTGTGCTGTGCTTTTTGCATTACTTGCTAGATACCTTTTTTGAAGTCTTCTTACCCCTCATGCCCAAACCTAAGGGCAGCCGAGAAACAAAAATACTTGTGTTCCTATTTACTCAAGCACTGAAAGTAGTACTGTCTTTGGTTAATATAGTCAATTATCAAGTCCAATTAGATTAAGCCAATTGAAATAAAGTCAGTTAAGTCAAGTGCAGATAGGTTAAGCACACAGAATGTGGCAAGAGAATGTACTTCACCCAAGAACACAATCTGCACTATGAATTCACCTATCGCTCCAAGAACTTAAGTGAAACCTTTGTTTTGCAGACTTCTTCAGAGCCGCACACCACGAAATTTCAAATTTATCTTCTAGTAGGTTTCAGAAAGACATTGTGAAATGGTAACATGAGGTGCAGGATATAGCACTTGAATTCCCCAGAGCAAGGAATCCATAGAAGAAACTCCAAACCTATTTGACAGTTACAAGAAAGGAGTGAAATGAGTGAGCAGGGAGTTCTGCCCTGGTGTAAAATCCACACGCTGCCCAAGTACACCAAAATGCAGTCTTCCCTGTATGACTGGTAACTCTCATGCATGAGATCTTGTTTTGTTTGCATACAGCCATCCCCAGTTGCAACTACAATATTTGTGATCCAAGTGTTTTCTCATTAGTACTTCTGTTATTTATTGCATGAAAACCAGATAAAATAATACAGAAGAAACCCACCTGTATAGGTTACTTTTAGAACAACAAATGAGAACAGAATCTGAAGTTACAGCTTCCTTGTAAGACACAGGTAATAAAAAGCACTTAAGAGTGCTAAACCTCTTATATGTCTGGATCATTACGGTCCAGAAAAGAGAGTGCCAAGTTGTTACACAATTCAGTCTTGAAGCTATGTTTGATTCTGATCTCCAAGCAGTCTGTCAACACTTTAAACTAAATCACAATGTCTATCCAGTAACAAAACTTTCTACTAGAAATAATAATAATAATAAAGTAGCTACTACTCAGTTACTGGGAAAATCAGAAGTTCTTGCAAAGGTGGCTACTCACCAGGTTAGCAGCTAGAAACTTGAGATTTAGTTAGCAAAATGTCAAGGATGGCATATTCAGCAATTTACATAGCTGTAAACTAATACCTCCTTCCATTTAAAAACATTTCTTGGGGAAAAAACACATGGATCTACCAGCAAATATGCCAGATAATGCCAAAATTTAAGCTTTCCTTCCATGGCACTTAAAGAATCCAATGAGTTCAAGCATCACTTATTCAAGTTTTCTAATAATGCACTAAGTCCTTATACTTACCCTCATGAATACAAATGTCAACTTTGCCCCAGTCATGGTACATCACAATAACAGTAACATTTATAATCTGCCTCAACCTCCCTCCCCCCGCCCCTGGCACTGTTTGTAGGTACTTTTCAATTTCTATGCCCTTTCTGACCAATTCTCTCTGCCATCCCATTTGCACAAAGCACCCCCGCCAGCCCCAAACTCCCAGGTTGCACAAGTGGGTCACTTTAAGGAGGCCTTACCTGATTTTTGTTGTTGTTGTTAAATTTATCAGAAAACATGAAAAAATACTCCACTGGTTGGTACATAAATAGGGCCTTAGCAGGTCACACAGGATGCTCACTTCACAAATTGTACTACTGTAATGACCTACACTATTGACTCTCAGAACTTTCTGAAGTGCAAAGCTCATGTACTATACAGTTAGCTTCTCAAGCTGTTTCTAGAGTGTTCCATGCTCACTCGACAGTTGGCCAGCTTAGTTTCCACACTAGATTAGTGTTTTCATTAAGATTTCTTCAGAAAACTGTACAATATCACAGACTTCATAGGAAAACCAAGCTTATTACTGCTAATGTAAGACCCATATACCCTTCTGCTCGTTTGTATACTGAAAATGGGTGGAAACACCGCTTGCAATTTTTTTTTAAAGTTACGTGGTGGTGAAAGTCAAGAAATGTATTCACCCCACATTTCAGAAAGTGTGGCTTTAAGATTAAAAGCGTAACACCACATCTTTCCAGACTAAAGGAAAGCATGTTTACTCACAAGTATCAAGACAAACCACTGTGTCGTCAAAATGTTCATCTTCTTCTTCAACAGGTGGTTGAGGGGATTTGGCCCTGAACAAAACAAAAGCAAAGAAACCAAAGATAATAAAGCTACACGTATTTTGACACTGCTAAAATAAGCATTTCTGTACTTTACTTCTCCTCATTCAGAAAATGCTGCCCAGCATCAAGTTTATTTACCTGCTGTACTTATTTTCCTCAATGTATTCAAAATATCCACGGCCATGGTCTTCACGTGGTCTCTTCACTCCCCTCTTTTTCTCACCAGGTTTTTGTTCTGTTTTAGCATCTCCTGTAACAGAATTAATGATTTATTTTAACTACACAAAGTAACTCTTTAATTGGGAATAAAATCCTATACGACGCTTCCAACTTTGGAAATTGTGAGAACCTACAGCACGAGAAAAGCAATAGCACCCTAGAGAAAAATTCTGCTTTGTACTAAGATAAGAAGCCGTATCTGGAATTTTCTCAGAAGATGCAAAACTTGTCTGCTAAATCGTCTCTGATCCACGACAGAAGCAGCCAGTACACCACGCAGCAGCTCGTGCAGCCCTCAATGTTGAGATCCCC